CTTAGGTTTCAAAAAGCTCCTTAGATATTTCAAAACCTTTAGCTTAATTTCATATCTGAAAAAGCCCAAACTATACTTAGTTATAATTGATTGGGTAATACTTTTATGTGAATGTTATACAGCTCACAGATCTGGAAGAGTTGTTTTGACAGTCATTGTGGGATAATATGAATTTACTCTTCTGAATTCTTGACTACCTGGTATATATTAAAAAATGGAATCTAGGTTATGAGTTCAGTCCTTTGTCCTGAGTTAATGAAACAGAATGCTAATCAATATGGGTTTTGCTAAAGGAAAAAGGCTGATAATAAAACTTATCAAATGCTTATTAAGGGGGTCTTCTGCTCTGACAAGTGACAGTATAAATGATGCCTTTTTGCTAAAGAGAGCTTTTAATTTATTCAGTATATTTTAACTTTAGTAACTAAAAATACATGTTCTTGCTTTCCTTTCCTGGTAGTGCTACACTATCACCAGACCTAAGAAATGGTGAGCTTTCCTTGAAGTATCAATGCAACTGTTTATTAAATTCCAATAACTAACTGCTGTGAAAACCCATTGAAGGCAAATGGATTGCACAGTCGTCACTGAAGGCATAATTTAATGGTAGAGTTTATAGCTATTACTGAAGGATGAATTCAGCCCACATAACCTTTTTATACTAATGATGGTAAGTGAGAAGAAATGAATCCAGATGGACTCTGCAGAGCTGAAAATTTGGGTGGAGGGCGAAACCCAAGCACATTTGAGCACATTTAGTCACAAAAAGATGCAAAGTTTGAGTCCTTTGATGCTATTTTTACAGCCTTTTTCAGAAGATACCTACATTTTAAGACTGTCAGTTTCCAAGTAGCCTCCAGTCCCTTGTTTCATGTTTAAGCCTAGCTTGAGTATTACTAAACCACAATAGCTACGGGCAAGTTATGAATGGATGAAAGCAGCTGGGATTGAAGTCTGTGTATCAAAATATGTGGTGACTATTCTTGTTTCTTAATCACTCCTGCTGTGTATTAACTGGTGACAAAACCATACTTCTGCAATAGGAACCAGGAAGACTTGGACCCCTTTTACAGGAAAAAAACAAAGGTTCTTAAACCTACCCAGTATTGAAATACTAAGTGTCACTTGCCTAAGTGCACTGTCATTTTTGAAAGTGCGTGAGAGTTGATTTATAATTTGCTTTATAATGCCTGTATCATATTTTGTCTTTATCAAAGCAGCTTTACTTTATGGATAAACAAAGATAAAATAGAGATGTCATATTTCAGTGGTTTATTATACATTTATGTTGCCCTAAGGCCAACTTTGTTTTTCCAAGAGGATAGCTCACTCATAGTCCTTACAGAGTTGAACCAATCCATTTCACTTTGCAGAGACTAGAACCATTTGTGATAAATCTGAAACCCTTCAGGTCATAGTATATATCTGCATAGGAATTAATAGGGCTTTTTATTGTTTAAATATAAACATTTTGTAAGTGTGGATAGTCTCACCTCATTAATGTTTTGCAATATGACAGCATGTTGTCACTCTGCCAGAAACATCTTATAAACACAGCACACGCTCTCTATTTTTTCTCTATTTTTTCTTTAAAGTAAACTTCAAAATAATTATTAAAACAAATTATGATATGGGAAAACAACAAGTTATTGCATGAAAATGCTTAAACATTTACCCAAAGAACCTTTCCTACCTATGTCATTAGACCAACACGGTTACAACCAAAACCCCAGCAATGCTTAGGCACTCCATTCAGATCTTGGGGAAAGGCCATATCCAAAGGCACTTTTTTAATGCAACTACCTTTCTTAATATAGTTCAAAATTAAAATGCTTATGCTTATAAATTAACTTATTTTTTAAACATTTGATCTAATTGCCTTTGAGCTTGAGCTTACTTAAATTAACTATCATGATTAGTCCCACTGACTACTTTCAGTGGATTCCTTATGGTGGTAAAATCAATCTTGCGTCTGTCTGCAGGACTATAGTTTTCATTTTCAGCTTGCTTTTACTGAAAAGCTAATGTTCTGAAAATGCAATAATATCTATTAATATAGTGGGAGAAAGTGTCATTTAACTCCAAATGTTTTTAGGGATTGTTAAAACAGAGCAAAGACTGCAGGCAGCATTCTTTACTACCAGAATTCAAGGCCTGATACAAGTCCTCCCTCTCTCGCTCTGTGAGAAATAGCTCAGGATACATTGGAGCAGAAGGATGTGCAACACGCTGTTTTCCCTCAAGCTGAAAAGGATGAGAAACCTCAATGAAACATCTGAGCTGGATTACAGCCAGGCAAATGAAAGCCCCAAATACTATGTAATAAAAGCTGTATGGGACCGCATCTCAGAGATTCCCTGTTCTGGAAGAAAAGTAAAAGGAGGTCTGTGTACAAACTCTCTTTTGGATTTTTTGGACAATCTACTAGAAACCAGAGATAATAAATATGCATGGGATTTGAGATAAATCAAAATTATTGTTGCCAGCTCTGTTGTTATCAGAAAGAAAAAAATACGTGGAAAAGTCCTATGTAATGAAAACAGTAGGTGGGAAACAGTCCTTTAGAAACTCTCCAGTCAAAAAAACCAAAGCAAAACACGACCTATTTCATGCAGTTTTTGAAATTAAAGCTCTCTGATCTAAATAACGTAAGTAGTCATGTGCCTCTGACATTAGCCAGGTTCCTCAGGCCAGGTGGAATCCAGACTGGCAAATTTTGTCTTGTAACATCTGCACAGCTCCCATTCAGAGATGTTACATAACATACCAGAGGGCTACTGGACTGAAATGATTACAAGCCCCTTTAAATAATTTTTTAGACATCTATTTTTCAGCTCTGATGCCTCAGTGAAAATACAATAAGAACATTAAAAAGAGAACAAATAAACAATAATGTATGATAAAATGTTTAGTAGAACACTGAAATAAGTTAAAAAATAAATTTCAACATGCTAGTCCTAATTCAAGTCACAAACAACAGTCCCTAAGTTCTAGATACCTAAAATGTCAATTCACTCTAAAGCAATATCTGTTTATTTATCCAGCTTGATGAACTGACAGTTTCTTAAATAGTATCTGACTGAATTTGAAATTTGCACATTTGATCTTAATCAATGAAGGGTTTTTTTTTATGTTTATCCCAGAGTTGATTGTGACCCTGAGTAGATATTGGTGTGATGGAAAGTGTTGAAGGTAGTGTGATGGATTTTCCAGCAGTTCCATCTGGTTTAGAACCCTTGATCTGGAGGAGCTAATCATGCATTCACATATGCACACGCATGCGTGTGTGTGCACATACACTTTTATCTGTTTAAACTGACAATAAGCGATTCTTCCAAAAATTGACTTTCTCAAATTATGTTACATTTCTGCACGTAGAAGCCTGTACTCTCCTTGTACTCTTGTTATATGTACTCAGTCCTTAAACTTTACTACAGTGTATGAGCTTCATGTACACTCTTATCTTAGTGCTCACACAACCAGACTGTTTGTACTGTACAATCCAGCCCCAAAGTCCTGATCTAGTGAAGCACCAGCGTGTGTTGTAAGTACAGTCCTAGTAAAGTCAGTGAGAGTAAGTACACGTTTAACTGTTTTGCTGGGATAGGGCCTGAACGAATGCCTCTATCCTGCTTTTTTCTTTCTGTCTAGATATTTTTAACATCCACGTCACAGTTACTTTTTGGCCATTTTCTGTGCATTTTAGTCTTGTGTCATTTGCTTGGACACCTGACATTTTTTCACTTTTCTCTGCTTGGTCTTTCTACTCAGTTTATTGTAGGATCTACACATCTTTCCCCTCATTAAGAATCCATTGTTCACTTGCCTGTCTTCCTGCTTTTTTATTTGATTAGGCCAGACTAGGTTAGAACTTTTACAGCCCTGGACTGGACAGCTGGGCCCCTGGCAGACGTTAATTTAATGGGTGTGATGGGAACCAGTCTTGCCTTCTAACAACTGTGCATCTTGCTTTACCATGGGTTCAGCAAGTTCAAAGCTGTCCCTGGTAGTGCCTCTGTTTGAATTTGCAAAGCAGGGGGAGTTGATGACCCCCACTTTGCACCTGCAAAGCCCACATGCCTGACACTGAACTCACACAGTGGTGGCACTTGCAGCCCCAGCCCCCTTCCTGACAATCAGCTGAGCAGCCCTGCCACATCTTCAGTTGAAGGTGCCACACAAACCTGCCACACGGATGTTCCACATGAAACACCTTCCTAGCTGCATTACCCTTTCTTAGCACAATAAATTGGTGGCTCATTGCCACATACAGCACAATCACCAAGCAGGGCCAACTGGGTGGAAAACA